ATTCGAATACCTGAGAGATTGAGAAACGTTGAATTGGTGATTTACGAGAAGAATGCTGGGGTTGGGGGAACTTGGTATGAAAACAGGTAAAAAGAAGCCCCCTTCCCTTCTACTACAGCGTCTTATTGGCTCTTGTTGAAGGATGAGACTGGGTCCGACTTAATGCCCAGGGCAAGCATTTGATCACTAACGCGAACGCAGATACCTGGGCTGCGCGTGCGATATACCTTGTGAGTCTCGCCACCTCTGACATCAAGCCCACTGGCGTGATGCTGATCTTCCCGCTAGCACACTCATACCAGTATTCTTTCCAACCAAACCCAAATTGGTCATCCTTGTACGCGCCAGCGGCAGAGATTCAATCCTATCTCCAAGATGTAGCTCAAAAATATTCTGCGGATCGCTTCATCAAGTTGCGCCATCAGGTCGAGGGTTGCTACTGGGATGACAAGACGGCAAAATGGAACGTCACAGTAAAGAACCTGGCGACAGAAGAGACCATTCATGACCAGGCAGATGTGGTGATTTCTGCAAGGGGCAACTTGAATACCCCATCCTGGCCGGATGTTGATGGTCTAAAGACTTTCAAAGGCGAAGTCATGCACTCCGCGGCTTGGAAAGAAGAGTGAGACATACCTTGGACTGCAAATAGACTACCAGTCGACTAATATAGCGAAACAGTTATGAATTCGAAAACAAGCGGGTTGGAGTAATCGGCTCAGGCTCATCTTCCATCCAGATTGTACCCAGTCTTCAGCGTCTACCAGGCACACACATCAGCACATTCGTGCGCAGTAAGACATGGATCTCCCCACCTTTCGGCCACTCACTCTGGGAAAAGTATGGGTTTCAAGGGACGGCTATTCCTAAGGAGCTTCGTGATCGCTTTGCCAACGATCCGGAATACTATCATGAGTTTAGACTAGCAATCGAAGAAGATGGAAACGGGATTCATCCCTTTACCCAGAAAGGAACACCGCTTCAGACGGGAGCCAAGGAAATGTTCCATCAAAACATGAAGGAGAGGCTGAAGAGCCACCCTGAAATCTTTGAGGCGCTTTTGCCTTCGTTCGCGCCTGGGTGCCGCCGCCTGACCCCTGGCCCGGGGTATCTCGAAGCACTAACGCAGCCAAACGTTGATTTTATCACGTCCCCTATAACTCGCATTTCAGAATCGGCCATCCATACTGCCGACGGCAAGGCGCATGAGATTGATGCTCTTGTATGTGCCACTGGCTTTGTATCTTCTGCACCACCCCCATTCCCGCTCACCGGTAGTGGTGGGCTTACCCTGACAGAAAAGTGGAAAGATCGCGCCGTAACATATCTTTCGCATTCAGTCGCTGGATTCCCTAACCTCTTCAGCATGCTTGGCCCTAATTCGGCCATTGGGACCGGTAGCTTGACAATGATGATAGAGACCATGGGCGATTATATCATCAAAGCCATTCGCAAGATTCAGAAAGAGAACATTGCGTCCATGGTTGCCAAAGAGGCACGAGAGAAGGACTTTATCGAGTACGTCGACGCGTACTTTGAGAACACAGTCTTTGTCGACGAGTGCAGGAGTTGGTACAAGAACAAGGGTACAGGGGAGATTGTGGGCCTCTGGCCAGGAAGCACATTACACTGCATCGAGGCGATGCAGAGTCCGCGATGGGAAGACTTTGACTATGTCTATCTGGCCGAGCTTGAGGATCATGACACTGACAACAAGTTGAAAGGCGTAGGCAGAAATTCGAACAGATTGGCCTGGCTAGGCAATGGTATGAGTATCAGGGAACAAAAAGAGCAGGATCTGGCCTGGTACTTGTATCCGGAATTCGTGAACAAGCCTGCTGCGCCGTACCCGGAGAAGAGCAAGATCTATGACATACGTCCATTTTCCTGTTAGACGAGATGGATACTTCTACAGTTGATGTAGTCTGTAGCACGTTCCTGAATCATAAGAAAAACGAATGTGTGTGGTCTGTAATGTGGCCTAGTGGAGCCGAGCTACTCCAGACTCCAGCCGTTCATGTGAAAGGATCCCGTTCCCCAGCTTCCGTTTGTGGGGTAGCCGAGGCACCGGTTCACATGCCGCAAGCTGCATGTGCGACACCGACAACAACATCCTCTCCCGAGCACATCAACCTTGTGACCCTTGCTTTTTCCAACAAATCCCTGAGACGCAGGATCCTTCGGTCATCTGCGCAAAGGCGTACTTTGTCCTCGACTTGCCATCCATACAACAGACCACCGTCGCAACCTCCCCGCCTCAAGCGCGTCACTACAGCGTGCGCTCAGGCGACTAACCTTGACCACCACCAATGCCTCCCTCAAGATAGCCATGGCCGTCTTCTCGAAACCCATATCCTCCCATCGCCTCAACAGCGCCTCGGCCAAGGCCATCGTGGCCGACCTCACGCGGCTCTACCTGCAGCACCGAACACGCATATCGCGCGCCGTCTACCTTACCTTGTTCGTAGCTCTCATAAACCGTATTCGGAATGCTATTGCTGAGCAGAAAGCTGCTGCTCTGCGCAGGGCCTCAAAGGGCACAAGCAAGACGTCAGCAGGCGAGGGCGAAGCCTCCGGGAGGAAGAAAGTTGAGCTGAATCGCGAGTTTTTCAAGAACCTGCTTCGGCTGTTACGGATATGTATACCTGGATGGAAGAGCAGGGAATTCAGACTCGTTATCGGGCATAGTGTCTTCTTGGTGCTACGGACGATGATCAGTTTGTATGTTGCCGAGTTAGATGGACGGCTGGTTAGTGCGCTTGTGAGAGGAAAGGGGAGAGAGTTCTTGATGGGTTTGGTATGGTGGATGGCGGTTGCTGTACCGGCGACATTTACGAACAGCATGGTATGGGACACCTGCGCTCTCAGCCAGGATCAGAAATCAGGACATACGATGAGTGCTAACATGGCAAACAGCTGTCATATCACCAGTGCAAACTCTCTCTGCAATACCGGACTCGACTCACAAACTACATCCATTCCAAGTATCTCTCCCAGATGACGTTTTACACGCTGAGCGCTCTGGACGACCGCATCGCAAACGCCGACCAGCTGATTACCGTCGATGTAGCCAAATTCTCAAATTCTCTCGCGGAACTATACTCGAATCTTGCGAAACCCGTTCTTGATATTATCATCTACAACTACTCGCTTTCACGAAGCGTCGGTGGCGAAGGTCTATTTTTCATGTCACTTTTGGTGCAGATATCGGCAAACGTCATGAGGGCACTGACTCCGCCGTTTGGCAAGTACGTGGCAGACGAGGCGAGACTGGAGGGAGAATTTAGATTCCAGCATTCAAGACTAATTGATTGGAGTGAAGAGGTGGCGCTGTACGGAGGACATGAAGCAGAAAAGGACACGCTTGACAAGGGCTATTTTACGCTGATCAAGCATGTGAACCGGATTCTAAGACGGCGATTTTACCATGGTATCATGGAGGACTTTGTCATCAAATATTTCTGGGGCGCTCTGGGCTTGATGCTGTGTAGTGTGCCGGTATTTTTCAAGGTACCTGGGACTGGTGGAATGAGTATGGGAGATCGCACAGAGAGTATGTATACCGTTATCACACACGCGATGTGGAAGATTTTGGAGTTTTGGCTTGCTAACGAGTGCGATGACAGATTTCGTAACAAATCGTCGCATGCTTCTTATGTCCAGCGACGCATTTGGTCGTGTCATGTTTTCATACAAGGAGATCACCGAACTCGCAGGCTACACCTCGCGTGTCTCTACTCTCCTGGACGTCATCGACGACATCCAGGCTGGTCATTTCGAAAAGAAGCTCGTTTCCTCTGCCGATACCGAAGAAAACGCTGCCGTTCTTCGAGGCCGTGGTACTGTAACCGAAGGCGAAGACATCGAGTTCATCGATGTACCCATCGTTTCTCCCAATGGCGACGTTCTCGTACGTGCACTATCCTTCCACGTAAGGCCCGGCGACCATCTCCTCATTGTCGGACCCAACGGCTGCGGAAAGAGCAGTCTTTTCCGCATCCTAGGCGGCCTGTGGCCCGTGTACGGTGGCAAGGTGCGCAAACCGCCATTCGAAGATATTTTCTACATTCCTCAGCGACCGTATCTCTCTCGTGGTACCCTCCGCCAGCAAATCATCTACCCAGATTCTCTCCACGACATGCATTCCAAGTCTATTACCGACAACCACCTCCTCGCCGTACTCGCCACGCTCAACCTCGAGTCACTGGTTGACCGCCCCGGCGGCTTCGACGCTGAAGCTCAGTGGGAAGATGTACTTTCCGGTGGCTTGCAGCAGCGTGTCGCCATGGCCAGGCTTTTCTACCACAAGCCGCGGTACGCAATCCTAGACGAGTGCACGAGCAGCGTGACGCTCGAGGTAGAGAGAATCATGTATGAAGAAGCCAAGAAACTAGGCATTACCCTCATGACTGTGTCTCACAGGCGCAGTTTGTGGAAGTACCATTGCCGTATCTTGCAGTTTGATGGCCAAGGAGGGTTTTACTTTGGAGGGTTGGATGCTGAGAGGAGGGCTGTGCTTGAGGAGTAAGTTTTTCCCCTTATTTCTTTTCGAGTGATTTGGGATTCGCCTGTTTATGAGATGAGTACTAACGTGTACGTAGTGAGAAGGAAGATATTGATTTGCAGCTCCGAGCTGTCCCGGATATCGAGCAGAGGATTAGGGAGCTGGAGGCCTCATGAAGAGGGAGTAGGGGACTTGCATTTTGGCGGTAGAAGTGAGGAAGCTTGTTGTACGATGATTTGGTAGTGTCTTAGTTATTGCAGATGCATATATGTGAATAGAACAGAATTTTTCTGTGCTCTTATTTATTCTTGTTTTCCTCACTGAGAGAGCTATCAGCCATGAATACCTTTCAGGTAGTGATGACGATGTCAATAAATTTCCGGATCTCTCTCTAAATTCGCTCAACCACACAAGAAGAAAAAGGCATCAGCAATGGCCCTAAAACTGGCCTACGAAAATCCTTTTATCATTCCCTTTTTTCCTTATATCGAAAGACTCAACCCTTCAACTCTCCAACCCAATCAATTTCCTTCTCATCCTGCCAAAACCCATCCGCCTTCCCCTGTATATCCCCCAACGCCAGCAACACCGGCGTCCGCGCCCCCTCATCCGGCGTCTTCGTCCCATTCCCTTTCGTCATTTCCGTATTCACATAACCCGGGCAACAAGCATTGACCAGCAAGCCCTCCCTCCCACTCTCCTTGACCTGTTTCGCTAGAATCTTCGTTGCGCCAATAAGTCCCGCCTTGCTAACCGCATATCCCGCAGTTGGGAACCCCCGTTCTTTTTCTTTGCCGGCTTCGACGGCGGCGACGAAATCTTGCATGATGGCGGTGATGTCGGCTTCGGATTTTGCAGCGAGAAAGCGGTTCCGGACGGGCTCGGAGTACTTGTTTAGTTTGCCGGACATGGAGGCAATGTTGATGAGGCGGCCGGTGGGTTTGAGGAGGGGCAGGAAGGCGTGGCTTGCTTCGAGGGTTTTGTAGTAGTTGCAGTTTAGTGTTTTTTTCACGAGGTCGGCGTCTAGAGATTGGGAGTTAACGAGTGTCGTTTTCATAGGCCGAGGAGAGGCGTGGACGTACTGTAGCCGTCGAGAGCGATACCGGCGTTGTTGATTACAAAGTCGATGCCATCGCTGTGGGTTTGCTTCAGGTGATCTGCAAGTATCTTGATACTGTCGCTGCTTGTGATGTCCAAGAGGTGGAATTTGATCTCTGAGAGTCCGCCATCGGCTTTGAGGGCTTTTGCTTGCTTGAGTTGCGCATCTTGCTCAAGATTCTTCACAGCTGCCTCTCCCCTGCCCTGGTCGCGTGCAGTCAAGTAAATCAAGAAAGGTCCGTTATTGAGCGGCGACTTGGGATACTGGAGTGCAAGTTGGCGCACAATGGCTAGGCCAATGCCCTGGTAAAGTCAGTACATGTGGTTCGAGGATTCGAGATAGAAAAAGAAATCAGGTACCTTGTTTGCACCGGTGACGACTCCGACCCTGCTGTAAGACATTTTTAGTGCTGTGATTCCGTCACTAGAGAGTTGAATAACGAGAGAGAAAAGAATGCCACGCCTATGTCAAAAGAGGCCTCCCCACTCCAAGCACTATATTAATCATCGCTGGGACCACCAACGCTGTTCGGAGTTAACAAGATGAATACGTCACTAATCATGATGTGGAGACTATGCCCCAATTGCCCCGCGCACTATCCCCTTCAGCGTTAACTTGAATGTCCCATAACCCAGAAGTTCAATATCTCCTACCAGCCTTGATTCTGAGGCCATAAAATCCAACGTTGCATATGTACAAATCAATCAATGCAGGTTGAACATCCGGACCAACCCCCTCCTTCGTTTTGCTTACCAGCACAACCAACACCATGAACAGACCGCAAACCCATCTAGCACAAACACGGCAGATGAATAGTCTGATAATTACTGCATGTCTTCCCACTAGGCGCATCGCTTCCCGTCTGCAGAAACAAATCGTAGTACCCAGCATCCGCGGAGTTGCAGACCAGGAAATTCAGTTCTAGAAAAGAGCACACCTCACGTTAGCAAAAACGACACTAACACCCAAAAGAAAGGAACCTTTGAAAAGCTTTGCCGTGTAGAGAGGGAGGAAGGGATTTTACTCACGTCGTCCATAGCTACTTCCTTGCATCGTAATAATCGTATCACCCTCAAGCCCCCACGCCGTCGTGTCGCCCTTTGCGCCCCAAACCAGTGGCTTATAACTCGTCGATGCAGTAGCGATGTTGAGGAACTGATTTGTTTTCTTGGATTGAATTGTTCCACCGATAGTAAATTCCTCGGCTGCAGATTCGGGTCCAAGAACGGGTTTTGATGCTGATATCGAACGTTAGTCAATTTCTGTTTCCAATGGATGTGAGGATATGCGTGTGTAGTAGATGGAGGGAAGTGTAGCGACAGAGCGAAGAAGGTACCCACAGTTCTTTGGGCTGGCTTGCAGATAAAGATGATAAATCGGATCGCGCACGCCGCGGATCTTGCCTACCGTCGCTGCAGCAGTAGCGACATTCTCAACAGGCGCAGCGGCAGCGCTTTGTGCGAGGAACAAAAGTGGTGCGAAAAACGTCAACATGGTGATGTGCGGTGTCGAGGGCTCAAACTACAGATAACCCATGATGGTAGAACCACGACTCTAATACTCGTTGTTCCTGGACCTGTAATCAATTTTGGCTTTGGTAGTCTCCCCGATTGCAATATCGCGGATAGATTGCGGTCGCGTCACGCGTGGGTGCATTGACTAGCAGATATTAAATACCCTTGTCGTGAAACTACCGCAAACACCGGGACAAGGAGCGGACGGCACGAAGAAACAAGACTAACAATTAAACTATGGTACTCTCATCCTTCATTCGTAGTCATAACTCCACGTTATATTCAAATATCGGGATAACAGGTACAGCCTAGATGGGACCGGATGTCGTGCAGATGGTAGAAGTATCCAGATGCGTCCTGGTGGAGAACACAAATGACAAGGACACTCTACCGTACAAGCCTGACCAGAAACCAGGATTTCCCTCACCCACTACCAAAAATACTAGACCCCAACCCCGATACGACTTTGTATAATTGAGAAGGAACAGTCTCAACCGGCCCTCGCTCTGGTGTCATGGCAGTCTCCATCGGCACCACCTCTTCGGGACTGTTCGTAACACCCTTTGGAATTCTAGCTTTCTTCGAAGGCTTCTCGACTGATTTCGATCCCGTACTACCAAATCGATGATACTTGTGTCGGTTCGGTCGCCCAAATACCTTCTGGGGAGTTTGCAGTAGAGCAAAGCTAGATAACCCCTCACCTTCATCCTCCTCGACTGGCAGGATCTGTGCATTTTGGATTATCTCCACGATACCAGCATCATCTTCCAGCTCTTTTGCTTCCTGATGATCCGCTCGTGTCATCTTCTTCGCGCGGTTGAAGATGGCATGCTCGATCGTATTCTCAAGCACCAGCGTCTCAACAAGCACCTCCTTCGTCTGCCCTATGCGATGTGCTCGCTTGATTGCTTGCGCTTCTATATTGGGTCTGTTGATCGGGTTCAAAATGAGTACGATACTCGCCGCATTCAGGTTCAACCCAAGAGCGCCGCAGGCGACATCGATCATTAGGACGCGAACGTCCGGATCTTCAGTGAATAGCCGCACATACTCAGACCGCAGTGTGTTGTTCAGAGTTCTAGCGTAGATCCGGTGATTGACGTACATGAGCTCAAGGCATTGTGCTATGTACCATGCTGCGTTATCGCCGTCATAGAAGATGATGATCTTCTCAGTGGCTTGATGTTGCATTACCTTGTCTAGCAAATAGCTGAGTTTAGCGGAAGTCGTGCCCACTATTTGAGTGTCATGTAGGGGCGAGCTCGTAGGTAGGTTTGCCGTTTCGTCCGCCAAAGTGAGCTTGCGCTTCTTGGAGCGAAGTGAAGATGTGGCAACTGCCACCCCTGCTGCAGTATCATGGGAACTGTTTTCTGGTTGTCTCTGGGAAGAAGACTGGCCGGCCGTTACGAGAGTCCGCCGAGTTGTTGGTGATTGATGGCCATCAATTAATGACAATGGCACCCCGGCTTTGTTCGAGGGTGAGTCGGCATTTGTCTTTTTGTCGCTATCTTGAGCTCTGCCTTCCATTTCTGCCATCGCTGAGACATTGGTTTTGGCTTCGCATCCCACAGCTTCAAGCCCGACAGCAGGGTCATGTGACAGTATGTTGCCATCAACATGGAGCTGTCCTTCGATCAGTTGTGTAATGCCGATCATTGTAGGTTCTGCTAAATCACCGAGTGCAAAGGTACTGCGTGATTCTCTGGGCCAATCTTTGACAGCCATTCCCACCTCGTGCGCGTTGCTTAGCGCTTTCCAACCCTCCGAAGTCGTCAACTTGGATACGACCTGACAGCTCTCGAGTAAGGCCCGCGAATCTTCAATAGAGCAATTTATGCCATCTTTGGCTAGGTACTTGCTGCTAGTTTCAATTGTGGCGATAACGTCGAGCAAACTAAATCCAGTCCATGTGAAGTTCGATTGACGCAAATTTCTTATCAGGGCATGGCGCTCCTTGACGCTGTTCTTATGGAAAAGGTAATCCACGTCAGTCCTTTCACTCGTGATCGCATTCGCGCGGAGTACTTGAACAAAGAGATTTGCCGTCATTTTGTCATACCAGCATGGTTTGAGAAACACAACGCGATGCCGCATGGGAGGCAGAATGATGTCTCTCTCAACATCTTCTGGCCGTGTCTTCACGACTAAGCCTTCCAGTGTCCGTGAAAAGCACGATGAAAATCCAGAGTAAGTCTTTCGATATTGGTGCTCATGGCGATAGATGTGTTCTTCCCAGTCAAGTTTGCCTTCAAAGCTATCACACCAGGGACGGGCCATGAGAAAATTTGAGGCCAGAACTCCTAAAGCTTTAGCAGCCTTGAGGTTATCAGGGTCGAGATTGAACGACTTCCGTTGCTCAATAGCAAGCTCGCGCTGCAATGCGGCGTCGCTTTCGACATCCATGGTAGCCATATCGACCTCTACGCCGACCAAGTTCTTTGCAGGTGCTGGATGTGAAAATCAGTAAGCGCAATCGGGTTTTGTTTCAGTCACTTACTGCCAGATACAACCCAGCGCCTCTCTGCTTCGATTTGTTTTGCGACTAGTACGGCGTTTGATAAAGAACTAGAGAACGAGTGACCCTCGTCGATGATGATCCTCAGCCAGTGAATCTTCTTCAATGGCGATTCATAGAATTTGTCGTAGTCGACACAGTTACAGTTAGAAATCCTACTGGCCCCGATGTATGGACATTTACAAGCTTGGGTTACTCCACGGACTGCTCGTCGCCCTTGATCGTCTTGTCCGTCCTGGATCTCTTGTTCAAATCGATTACGCGTAAAGAGAAGTACGTCAAACTTCATCAGCTCAGTGGGGACTGGCAACTCGCTTTGGAATTGCATGTTGTCGTCATCGTACAAATTGCTTTGTAGCTTGCTCCCGCGCTTTGTCACAGTGTCTAGAACTAGCACTTTAAGGCCACCTTGGAGCACGTGTTTTTTGATCTCTGACTGCCACTGGTGCAAAAGATTTCTCGGCACGACAACGATGGTACCGGATGATATTATCAGCTGACGGGGTGGAGGTATCCTGGTGTTTCTGTTTATCCTAGAAAGCTCAGCCGGGATTTCGTAAAATGGAATATTTCGGTCGAGAGCATTTCGATATTTCGTCATGTCTCCGGCGCCATTCGTTTCAGACTGCTCCAAAAAGCTCCGTGCAGGTACAGAATAGCGCCCAAGAATAGATGCCGCTATATCTGATAGTTTTCCTATGCGGTGGCGAACCGGAGGGGGTGGTCGGTAGGCTGCGGGTATCTTGGGTAGATGGTATTTACTAGCCAGAATTACGGCTAGACAGATGACTGTCTTTCCTAAGCCCATAGTTTCCGCCAAAATCCCTCCTCGAGTGGTTTCGTAATACCGAGGCTCGTGCAAAAAAGATCCGTCACGGCTCCCAAAGTAGAATTTCTTGCCATCGGGTGACGAACGTACTTCTAGCCTTGGATCAAGCTGTAATTGAGGTGCTGCCTCCTTCTGCAACATTGCGCTTGCCGAACGAGCTTGGTAGGCGTACAGTCTGGTTCGTAGCCCCGGGAGTGCTTGTTCGCCATACTCTTCCCATCCTGAGACATTTGCAGATTCCAATAGATCGTTTATAGCGGCTCTTGTATACCGATCCCGAATTTCTCCTGGAACCGGCGCGGGTGATGGTAACTTGTTGAACAGATAATATAGCGATGAAAGTTCAGCATCGGCCCAGGAATCGAAGTAGCGTATCTCCTTTTCGTCATGGTCACCGTACCAAGCCTTTGTCGATATGTCAATGGATTTGAGGAGATGCCGTAAGGCGGCCTTCAATTTCTTGCTGTTGCGATCAATGGAACGGCGACCCCAATCTTCTGGCATCAGATATACCCGTACTGAACTCTGAAAATGAGCAGTGCCAGGCGTAAAATTGTGAAGAAAGAGCCGTATCCAGTGTGCCTCGAGGAGCCTGGAAGCTTCGTTGCCAATGATTGCTTTCATCTCATCTGGAAGCTCATGATATAGCAACTCCATCCACTCAGTATCCGCTTGGGATTTATGAGACGGAAAAAGAGATTCTTGAAAGTGAAGGCAGCCAAGAGCGATATAGCAATCAACATCCTGCTGCTTTGTAGCCAGACTTTGAATGAGGCCATCTTTTGATGAGGCTGGGGTGATTGACATTTGCTCAGCCACAGTCGATAGTGGAGTTTTGGGCCGTGATATGGCATATGCGGGATAATCCATGGTATTTACTTGTTCGCTACTTGCGGTGCTTGATGCTGCTCGTGGCGATTCGTTAGTAGGTGGAGTACAAGTCCCGTCCCAGGAGACAAGCCTGGGAACCACGACCGATTCACTCATTTCGAATATTGATTATTAGTCAACCCAGAGGACGGAAAGCATTGAGCCTCAAAATGAGAAGATGAATTTCAGAACAGATTTTGTTGGTCGATATGACTAGTGAGAGAGTCAAGGCAACTGCGAGATGCACGGTGTGGACGTTTCGCGCTAACGCTTTTGGTTAGTGTGATTAGCTGAGCGTCTACAAGGTCTGATTCTATGAAGAAAATCTACAAACGGTAGCTTGATAAAATACTTTTCGTGGCTCTGCACAATGCAGAGTACAAGCCCAAAACGCCGATACGCCATGCTAGTTCAAACAATCTACCGCATCTCCTGCTGGCCTGTGGTAGGCTTCACATTGTCGCCTTCAACCCACACCTTTTCCATTGCCTTTTCTAGAATCTGCATGCCTTCCTCGATCTGTGCTTCAGTAATCACAAGCGGGGGGACAAACCTCAGTGTATTTGTACCGCAAGTGATGATTAGAAGACCTCGTTCGCGGGCAGCTGTGACGATGGGCGTAGGGTCTGTGTCCAGTTGGAGACCGAGGATTAGTCCTTTACCCCTAACTTCCTTGATCTGACTCGGGAAGCGGGTTCGTAGAGCATCAAAGTGCTTACGGAATGCTTGCTCTTTGGCGGGTATCGAGTCGAGAATCTCTGGAGAAGAAAGACGTGATAGGATATATGAAGCGACGCGCGACCCGAGAGGGTTGCCTCCGAATGTCGTGCCGTGATCACCAGTCTTGATATGGTCACACACATAGTCATTGACAATGGTGGCACCAATTGGGAAACCGTTGCCCAATGCCTTGGCGGTGGTAACAATATCAGGGTGGCATTCCTTGGGGTAGCCGCCGTGAGCCCAGAAGGTGCCTGTTCGTCCGAGGCCGCACTGGATCTCGTCGAATATAAGGACGGCACCGACTTCTGTGCAACGCTTTCGTAGTGCAACAAGGAACTCAGGCGTCGCTACGTTTACTCCTCCTTCTCCCTGGATGGGTTCAACAATGACGCCACATGTCGCGTCGGTGACCAACTCATTGACAGCATCGACATCGTTAAACTTTCCGTACCTGAAGCCGGGAATCATAGGCGAGAATGGAGTTTGATATTTCGGATTGGGTGTTGCGCTCAAACTTCCCATGGTACGGCCATGGAACGAGTTATGGAACGAAATAAACTCATGCTTGTCTTTGTTTGGAGAAATAGATTTGCCCACTTTGCGCGCGAACTTAATGGCAGCCTCGTTGGCCTCAGAGCCACTGTTGCATATGAATGTGCGGGTTGCGCTAGCAAATCCTCCGGTTGCATGGGTGAGCTGGATAAGCTGTTTCGAGAGAAGACCTGTGTGTGGGTTGTGATAAAGATTCGAAGTATGAATCAGTTGTTTAGCCTACATCAATGTCAGTTGATTTCAAGCATTCGTTAGGGTCGCATGTCTTACCTGCTCTGCAATGACTTGCGCTACGCCAGCATCGCAGTGTCCCAAAGCATTGACAGCGATACCAGAGGTAAAGTCAAGATACCTCCTGTTCTCAATGTCCCACATGTAGCATCCTTCTCCCTTTTCGAACATTGGTGGCGGGCGAACATAAGTTGGGACCATGTACGGCAGTTGCTGGTTGACTAGGCCTGCGGTCTTCGAAGTAGCAGGCGGATCGGGTGTTGGCAACGATGCATCGCGCTAGAAAGTGTAAGTCACAGAAATATCATAATCCGAGTTGATGGTAGGCTTACAGCTATTGAGTCTAAGACATCTTGTGGCAGACTTGAACCTTTCAGCCCAGCCGTTGTTGAAGCAAATCGCGCAGACGTGCCATTGATGCGCGGCGCACGCAATACAGAACAAACCCTCCTGGAAGCAATTCGTGCAGCCATTGCGAACAACAGACACTATGAGAAACAAGAAGGAGAAAGCTAGCGTGAAACAATTAGCATTGGTGTGCTTGTTGAGGCATGACTGTTCAGGCGTGACGCAACGCCCAAAATTTTGGGCTGCACATGGAATGCGGGCCGAGGTCGGACTTATCAGCTTACAGGGAATTCATAACACACGGGATATAGGTATAATTTCTAAGAATTCTTGCATCGAAGTATCACCAACGCGAACGACTGTTCGCGCAAGTCTCGTTGGTGTAGTTGGTTATCACGTGGGTCTCATATCCTCCATGCTATGACTACTCTAAGAGTAGAAATCCCAAGGCCGCCAGTTCGAGTCTGGCACGGGACAACTTCGTTTCTTTTTGCTGTTGTGATGTTGGTGATGGCACACATTCATGCATACATACATACGACTTTCTTTTTTGGACCGTGTCTTGGACGTGTCCGTGTCTTTCATACCGTGGGACACTTGTACGTTGTTCTCCATGATAATCTGAAGTGCAATACATGAAACGTGATATTTAAGTCTCTATTATTTTCTACAACATACAATATCTCTCCTAGTCGCGTCGTGGAGCCTCGACAAAACGATTCATATGTTGTCGTGAATGTTTTGCGATTGTCAGGGGTTCAAGCCGGCGATGACGTGGCCCATTGATGTCATCAACTAGCCAATATCTAATTTCTAATCTCATGATGTGCACTTACGCCTCAAAAGAACCATTGTGTACTTCTTCGTATCGACACTCTGTATCTTTCATTCCAGATATTATCAACGAGCATGCCTCCAGCTAAGAAACAGAAGAACTTGCGCCAGTCTGGCGTCTCCACGCAAGGTTCCCACAGCGACAGCGACAGCTCCGACTCTGCCTTTGAATCTGTGCGCCCGCGCAAAAACAATAAGCGCAAGAGCACGGAAACTGCGAGTGGTGAGAGCCACCACTCGAGCAAGCGTGTAGAACTTGAGAAATTAGCACCATATGACTATGTCTGTATTCCTCGCCCCCTCTTCGATGTCGAGGGCGAGAACTGGCTCACATGGTCAACCAATCCGTCAGCCCATGTCGACGAGGAAGATGTTTATGAGAAGCTGTACGAACCCAAATGGGAGCAGGAAAAGAACGACGGTGTCTACATGTCCCCACCCGAGAAGCATCCAGGACGCAAGTGGGTTATGATGTGGAGTGCATGGCTCAAAAGAAACTTCTTGATCCGAAAAGCCGAGTACTGTGACCCTCACAACTTTCACATGCACATTTACACCGATTGGACAAGTTGGGGTATAATTGAAATTGCGGAGAACATGGTATGTGATGTCACGTTGAACACGCGTATCAGTCGCACGCTAATCAATCTAAAGATGATCGAGTTCAACAAGGCCTATCAATCAAAAGAGCCCACACGCCTCGAAGAGATGTGGGCCATCATGAGTGCTGTGGGTTTATGGCTCAATGAAGCGGATTGCGTCAGCCAACTCGTCGAGGGCGAAGGTGAAGATGTAATAATGTTCGTTGGCCTTCTTGGCTGTGCTTTACTCACGACTCTTGCGGCCGTAGAGAAGGCGGGCGAACTCAAGCCCGACTCACGTTTTATGGACCTGGCACTCGTCATCGCCTATTACCTGGAGGTATCGTACGATCTTCCTGCCTACGGTGTTGAGGGTGACTGTGTAGCCTGGCGCAAGCATGCCGTAAGCTACTTTGAGAAGGGCAATCTGGATCCAGCCAAGGGCCTGTCAACGACAAAGTTACGGATTGAGAAGCTGAAGAAGGTGAACAATTACAACGAAGAACCTGATGCGCCAAATTCTGTAGACAATCTCCCTGGCGAGTATGATGACAATCTTGTATTGAAATTACTCCGGGAAGAAGACAATGGAAAGGAAAATGAGCATCCAGAAGCAATGGACAAGACAGTTGGATCGTCGAACCCGAAGAGCAGTAAAGGCAAAAATACAAAGAAAGAGGATGACGTCTGGAGTTGGGCCAAGGTCTTCAAGGCATACAAGAAAAAAAGAGATCCAATAATGGGTGGAGAACAGTACGATATCACTAAGCTGACTCGAGCTGAACGAGCGAGGTGGGCGTTTGATCACAAAGATCCCCTCGCAGATATACCGACCAAGGATTTGAAAAACAACCTTGTAGATTTTGAGTGAGAGCCATTTACCGGATGTTTTGGTGGGAATGGATAGGAACGGCGTTGGCTCAATTCTTTGTTTGATTTGGATTTCCACATGTTGTATTATACCCTCAATTCTTTCGTAGCAAAATTCGTATTGTATATTATATTTCCAACTCCCGACTCTACTGCACACATCCTCGAGTATCCACCGGCCAGATTTCTTCAATAACTCCCTTTCGGTGCGCATAATACACATCATGCAGATTGACCGTGGGATCAATATGGCTCGGAATCATCTCCACCCTATCCCCTATCCTCAATTCGCTCGCCTTTCCCTCTTCCCACTTGAGACTCCCATGCTCATCACCCAACACCCCATACTCATACCCCTGCGTCTTACACTCCGCCAGCCCGGAATCCGTCGTCAAACTCTTCAGCCCGGCATCAATCGTAATAACATTGGGCCCCTGCTTGCTCAGCACCGTGGACAAAATGGTCAAACTCTGCTTGAAATGATGCCCGCCGACCGCATTCCTGTAATCCGTATCCATGAAAAGAAACGACCCAGGCTGCACCTCCGTGATCCCAGGCACCCTCGCACAAAACTCCGCCGTCCCCGTCCCGCCCGTAGTAACAACATCAATCTTATGCCCTTCCTTCCTGAACGCCTCCGCCGTCTCAACCAGCACCTTCATACTTTCCAAACACAGCTCTTTCCTCTCCTCCAACCCATGCACATGCTGCAAATGGCCCTCATAACCCTGCACCCCAATCAACTCGAGATGCCTCGTCTGCGCCACAAACGCCGCAAGTTCCTTCGCTGGCACCCCC